CTTCAAGTATCGAAAGTGCCCTGAAGTGTGAAAAAACGAAATTTTTTCGAGAAAATACAATATTTTTCTGTTTTAGCTTACGACTCACAGTGGTTCGGATAGCAGATCTAGCTGGACGAAAGTCAAATTTTTTTTTGTTTTTAAAATACTTAATGGTACTTGGAATAGATTCCTGACAATACATTCAAATAGAAATTGCATTTATTAAAGCACTAACATAACATATGAAAACAAACAGGAAAAGGTAAGTCAACGCCGGCTTTTTGAGAACTCTATTTTAAAGCTGAAATTTAACTTAAAAGATTGCTAATTGCACTCACAAATATTTGCATAATTGCAAATTGACTTTATAAACTAAAAATTACACTTATTCCGCTATAGATGTCCACATTGGTATAAGCAAATTTATTCTGAAAAATCGTCGTTTTGATTAATTAAAAAAATAAATTAAAGAGTAGGAAAAGTAAAGGCCGCCGAAGGCCGTTATAAAACCACTTGCATATTATTCTTTACACCTTCGCAAATGCAGTGGGTAAGTTCGATAACCAAGTCTAACCAATTGGCTTAGATATTTACATTTTAGTGACGGTATGTCAAATCTCAAAATTCAAAAGTAATTATTAACATGAATGTATCAGAATATAAATATAAGATCAGTGGAGGATCCACGGGGGAGGCGGGGGTAGGGGTTGTGTGTTAAAACAGAAAAATACTTGGAGCTGTAAAAACTTTGGTTATGTAAGAGTTAAAAAAAAAATAGTAACTCGCGAATTTTCTGCTTTCTGAAATTAAAAGATTATACAACAGGCATGCAAATCTTTAAACGCTGTTATAAATTTTTTTCTGAAATTTATTTGTATTTCTTGCTGTGATCTTAAATTTTGGTAATGGTAAATAAAATCTTAAGGAGTGAGTTGTTTGACATTTGGAGAAGTGTTGCTGAAACTTCTAACTAAAAGACAACAAGATGTCCATGATTATGTGATTAGCAAATTGAAAGAAATATCTGATGCGAATGGTCGTTCCGAAGTAAATAAAGTAAATAATCAGCAACCCAGAAAACCCCCAGATACCCAGTTACATAGAAATCTACCGAGTTTTTTTAATTTTCGTCCGCCATATTGGATCCGCCAGTTTTAATTTTTGGTAAATGACTTTAGATATGTAATCAGCGACCCTGAAAACCCCCAGATACCCAGTTTCATAGAAATCTACCGATTTTTTTTTTAATTTTCGTCCGCCATATTGGATCCGCCATTTTGAATTTTTGGTAAATGACTTTAGATATGTAATCAGCGACCCAGAAACCCCCCAGATACCCAGTTTTATAGAAATCTACCGATTTTTTGTTAATTATCGTCCGCCATATTGGATCCGCCATTTTGAATTTTTGGTAAATGACTTTAGATATGTAATCAGCGACCCAGAAAACCCCCAGATACCCAGATTCATAGAAATCTACCGATTTTTTTTTAATTTTCGTCCGCCATATTGGATACGCCATTTTGAATTTTTGATAAGTGACTTCAGATTCGTAATCAGCGACCCAAATTCCCCTAGGTAAGAAGTGGTGTAAAGATCCATCAACGAGTATTTGTTTAAATAGTTTCGTCCAGCTAGATTTGCGATCCGAACCACTGTGCGACTGATTCTATCTAAAGTTATAACATTACCAGCAGATGAAAGGCAATTTTATTGATTTTAAAGTAAATTATAATACATTTTCTTTGAAAATGTACGATTTCGAAGATATTTAACATTTAATGGTGCAGCACCTTTCTGGTCAGGTTCAGTGAGTAAATATTACGATTTACACTGCCGGAACAAAGTATTGGCACCGCAAATTTTTCACAATATATGCAACAATTTTCCCTCTAAGATTTTTCCGCTAATTTCGTATAAAAATATGGTTCATTCTACAACAAAAAACATAAGAATATAATTTCTAAACTTTGTGCAAAACTCGCGAAAATTCAGCAAATGTTCATAAAAATTTTCAACTTTTTAATCAGATTTTTTAGAATTTTTTTTGAGTATGCAGGTTTGTAGCCCAATCAATTCTATTATAATAAAGTGATTAAAAAGTTGAAAAATGTGATGAAAATTTGCTGAATTTTCGCGAGTTTTCCACAAAGTTTAGGAATTATATTTTCAGGTTTTTTGTTGTTGAGTGAACCATATTTGTATGGAAAATTGGCGGAAAAATATTAGAATAAAAATTGTTGCATATATTGAGAAAAATTTGCTGTGCCAATACTTTGTTCCGTCAGTGTAAGTATTTTGGATTCTTTGTTTGTTTTCAGTTTATTGTTTGTTAAATCTCGGTAGGTTTTAATTTTTATTCATAACTTTGTAAGTAAAAATCACTGATTGATTTTTATTGATGACTTTTACAAATAAAACTATGATTTGTTTTGTTTTAGATTTTGTAAATTGTTTCAATACTGTTTTTCATGAAATTGCTTTAAAGTATTTAATGCGAATAAGGCCTCTTTAAGACTAGTCGCTACAGGGGTATTATTATATTCTTATGGGTCTTCATCGCTAAGAGAGAGCAACATGCTAGCAAAAATAAAATTTGAAAAATTTTTAGTGCTGGTAAGCGAAGTATTTTTCATACAAATCGAAGAAAACTTACTCAAAAACAGGACTGTTAAATGGAAAAGCGTTGGGAAGCGGAAATGCAGCCAAAAGTGAAAATTTCGTACAAAATCCATTTCATGAAGCAGTATTTTGGCAAAATTGTGCACGTAAGCAGAAAATGCACCTAAGTAAATAGGAGACTAAACGGAATATACTGTAATTTGTTTTTCAGTTATTATTAAAGAAATCTATTCAATGTGTCCATTTCTTACTGTTGAGGTTTAGATATTTTGAAATAATCTGGGGAAACTCGACTCTTGCTTTAAAGTGCCATTCTAGAGACAGTTTACCACAATTTTACCCTTTAGGTGTTAAATATCTTCTAAACCGTATATTTTTGAAGAAAATGCTGATGTTTAAATTTAGTGTTGAGTTTACAGTTATTTGCAGTTGCTTAAGGATAAAAATCACTTTACTAACAGTAGGGTGCCCCACATATGTACATATAAATGGGAAATTCTCAATTAGTTCCAATTTTCGCATGACTCGACAGTTTTTATTCGGACACATTCCCCCCTTTATTAACAAAATCAGGTTACATATGTTAGGTCGATTATGTAAATCCAAAAAAAGAACCATCGCACATATTTTCAAGCCAAATATGCATAATAATAATAATAGATTGGCGCTTACACATATGTTAGTGTTTGGCCGAGCTTCTCCTCCGACTTGTGGCGTGCGCCTTGATGTTGTCACACAAAGCGGAGGGACCTACCGTTTTACGCCGACTCCGAACGGCGATTGTATTTTCATGAGAATCTGTTTTTCATGGCAGAAATACACTCAGAGGTTTGCCATTGCCTGTCGAGGGACGACCGCTGTTAATAAAAAACCTATTTTCTATATTTATTCGATGTTGCTTTGACCAGGGTTTGAACCCAGGTGCTGATGAGTGAAAGCGCGCACTGCTTACCACTACACCACAGCGGCCAAATATGCATACAATTCAAAAATAAAACTGGCAAATTTTCACAAATAAAAATGTGACTCCTATTATTTTTGTATTTTTACGTTGCAAAATTTGGTGCGTTGATTGCTCATTTTTGAATTTATAATGAACTGGTAGTATTTGGAGAGCAGAATCGAATGCAACCCGTTAGAAGTATTGGTTGCAATAGAAAAGAAGTTATCAATAGTCAAAGTGGCGTGACTCCTTTTTTGAAATTCTAATACCCGTGGCTTTTATAGTATACTGTGGTTGGTGCGTACCTAAAACTGTTATCGGACAACTTGTAAAGTGTTCTGGAGCATAAAAGGAATCAATGTAAACGGGGCAGGCCTATGTGCTCTCATTAGAAGATAGTTAAACAAAAACTTATTTAAAACGTTACGATGCGTGCACCTAAGTAAAAATTCATAATTTTTATTAGCATATCGTCTGCAGTTGGAAAATTTGCCAATTATGTGTGTGCTCTATTATACAATATACTATTGAACCATGATCCTCGTGCACCATTTTTTTACTTTTTTATTTGTTCATTAAAAAGTTACAGATCGAAAAATAAATAAGAAAACCCAAAAAAAAAACCAATATGTATAATACCCAAAGGCATTTTTTTCAAGTCATCAGATCTGCACCGTTCGTTCGCTTTTCGAAAATGAGGTGTCAAATGAAAGAGCTTGGGCTATAGATGCTATGACTTTCCGTTGATTTTTGGCAATTTATGTTCGAAATTTTTTTTATATGAAAAAAATGCAGAGCACCTACAACAAGAAAAATTGCCAAAAATCACCGGTAAGTCCTAGATACTTAAAATTTGTACTTTGTTATACTAAAATTTGATGGGCTACAAAACTGAATTCCAATATTTTGTTTAGAGTTGCTGATCAAGAAGTTAAAAATTTTGGTAAAATTTTGCTAAATTTCATAACGTTTGCCCAAATTATGAAATTTGGGTTTATATCGTGTTTGTTAATTAATCAGCTATAATGAGTCTGTGTTCGTGTATTTCGCAAACAATTTTAATGTTTTTCCTCCTCTTTCATCTAAATTTTGGCAGCAGCTCGGTTTGGTGACTCGGTTTAACCCAGCCAAACTGCACACTAAATTTCAACTTAGTTTCAATGGCAAACAGAGTTAAACTCGCACTGAAAAACTGGCTCTAACAATAAACAATAAAAATAAAATAATTTAAGAATTTCGTGAACTAGTAACATTTTCCGAGACTTTGGAGAAAGTCTATCGTCTCAGTTTTGAAAAATTGCATTCCAAACTTCAATCGCGATTTCCCAAAAACTTCCGAAATTAACATGCGACAATCTTTTATCCGGGCGACGATATATCCCCGTATACCTATTTACATATGGAGTATGTACGTCGATGTATTGCATATAGATTCATTATTTCCTTTTAACAGTTGGGACTTATTTTGGAACCCCTGCTGACCTCATATACTTCGTCTGTGTCTAGTGCCAGTTTGGAAGAATTACGACGTACGGCGTTTTTATGGGTTGACCAGCATTGTTCCTTAATTGACCTACGACCAGGTGTGTCTCGATATTAAAATGTATTTCAAAGATATTTTTTACTTACTTTTATTTTTATTTTAGCGGTATCAAATAAGTTGAAATACTTGTCAATGAAGACAGACATTCTTTCCGATCCGCCATCAACTTTGCAGGAAGAGGTCGCAAAAGCAGTTTACAACAACATAGGGCATCATCCCAATTTACATGGAACTTAAAATTTACAACACACAAGTGTAGTTAGAAAACTGTTAAGCATAGTGATATACAAATCGTCGGGTTTATTGCTTATCTTTTCAAGAATTTGTACAAATCTTTTTTATTCTTAAATCGTGCTTACCTATAATGTTAAAAAATGATTATTGTTATACGTTAATAAAGAATGAGAAAAACTTTTAATATAAACGAACAATTTATTGAATGCATTGTTGCACAAATATCTTTCAATAATGTAAAACAAAAATTTAGTTCGTGGTGAGTATGTATGTCGTGATACTAGGAAAACAGTAAAATGTATATAAATTAATCTACCTGTTCTTCTACTTGTGGCAGCCCAGGTATATGTACATACATATATCAGGGTTGTTCCGATTACATAGACCCGACTGTCTTAGAAAACTATTTTTCTTCTTGTCTGGCGCTGTAACCACCTAAGCGATTTTGGCCGAGTACAACAAAGCACTCCAGTCGTTTCTCTTCTATGTCAACTGACGCCAATTGGAAATGCCAAGTGTAGGGTTGCCAGATTTTTTTCTCAAAATTCAGTACCTTCGGCTTTTTGAGAGCAAAAAATCAGTACATTTCAGTACTCTTTGGTTAGACACAAAAATTGTACAACTGACTGCTACTTTTACTAAATGCACAATACATACCTACATACACAGGTTCGTCGATAGAGGGGGTCAGTGGGGTCAATTGACCCGGGCCCGGCTGAATGTCAGCGGCCCGGCGAAAGATATAAAAGTTAAAAGAAAAATGGAACAAATTTTCAAATTCAAAAATTATAAAACATGCAATAAAAAAGTGAATTGAACAGAATTTTCACCCGTATTGCGAATGTCGACTGGCAGTAGATAAACGACTACAGTATATTTTGCTTAGCTGCACATCCATGGGCGTAGCCAGGTAGGGGCAGGGGGGTGCTCGAGCTCGCCCCTCCCCCTAGTTTTCAAAAAATTAACGACTGTGAATACTTTTTAATCGCTCATCCTTCTATTGCTGCTTTTAAGTCGTTGGAGTTTGCGTTTATAAAATTTACACAAGAAAGTGGTACTGTAATGGATAAAAAGTAAGTCAATTGAGCTGGAAGTTTTAAAAAATTTTAGAATATACATACATATGTATGTATGTGTCTGAATTACAGATCAACTATTGTAAGCAACAAAAGGCAACTTGTGCGATTGGTCGACCTGATGCAGGAGAATGAGGACATAGGCAAAGGAATTTGCGGAAAGAAAAAACTGCATAATTATTAATTAACTAGTGCTCGGAAATTTGAAATCTTTATTGTAATTTAAAGTTTAATTCTTTCACTACACGTGTAGTTAAAGTTTTAAAATCGGCTCACGCGTTTGGACACAAATACTCAACATCATTGTACAAATAACTACACCGTACCGTATTTCTTAAACTAGTTGCGTTCCAGATACTTCACGATTTGCAGGTTTTTACAGGATGCTGTTCCAGGTGGCCACTTTCCATAAAGTTTTTTAATGACGAAAAAAGCTTTTCCTGCAAATCCTGTAAAACTTACAAACCGTGAAACATCTGTAACGCAACTACTATTCATAAAATTCACATATGTACATACACTTCATCTTCCAACTCCAAGGGATTCGACGAATCTCGCAATTTCCTCCTTGTTTTAGCCAACTATACTAATTAGTTTCCACATCATCACTAAACCAAATTTCAACTGTCTCCATTTTTTAAATTTTATATTAAAAGCAATTTTTTAAAAGTTATGTAAATGAAACACTAAAGAAACAAATGTAAACAAACAAACAGCTGTTTACAATTCAGTCAACCATTCACAATAGTACAAATTTTTATCGATCAAGTTACACAATAGCAAGATAAAAGATAATCGACTCGATCCATAAATTTCTATTCTACTGCCAGTTGACACTCGCAATAGGGGCCTATATGATTTTCTATTTACTTTGTATTCTGTTCAGATGTTATATTCTTTTAAGGCGTGCAAAACTTATATAAACTTTAATTATATGTATGTAAGTATCATTATTCAATTATTAAAGGTCTTGTAAGTCAAGTTGACAGGGGAAGACTTCAATCAACTTCAAAATGTAGCGAAGTTCCGCAAAAAGGTGTTCATACATGGTAGTATTTGCTTTAATTATTTAATTGAAACCAGCTAATGTTATTAAAAATAAATATTTGTATGTACATTAGGGTGCCCATCGAAAATATTTTTTTTTTTTGAAATTTCAAGACCCTACCCCCTAATTTTATTCGTTTTTGTGAGAAATGTCATTGCCTAATTAATGACGGCTAGACAATGCTGGGCATTTTTACAATTTTTGCCATACATTTAAGTTTATTTAGCTTCAGTGAAGGAGATGTATTTGAATTTATTTTGGAACGAGTTTCCGTCCTCCCTTGTCAAGCTTGGTTTGCAGAAAAACCGGTTTCGGCGTTGTACCATCTTCAGTGTCATTTTTCGTTCTATATTAGCTATTTCGGTCTCCCCATATGGAAATAAAGTTTTTCTCGAGTTCAATTACTCAAGGGTAAAGTAATTAGAATTAAGTAAAGAAAGTATAATAGCCGTCATCGATTCGCCAACAGTTAGCGAGTGGCGAAACGAACGAACTCAATGAGGTAAACCCAAACTCGCTATTGTCCATCTTTGCTAGCTAACTTTCACATGCAAATTTTTTCGTTAAGCGACCGGAACTCACACATGGCAAGCAGCGAAGTGGCGAATCGATGACGGCTAATATTACATATGTCATATAAACATACACCTTGAAAGAGATCGTGCATTAAGTCCTAATGCATAGTTATCGGTAACATTAAATTTTGCGATTTCTTTAAAAATGGATTTAGTTGAAACTTTGTCTAATCTACAAAATTTGCGAAACAAGGAACTGTTACACTATTTAGAAAACCGCAAGATTGTATTCAAACCAAGGTTATCCCATACTACTAAGCCTAATACAAAATATACTTTGAAACTGTCATCGTCGATTTTAATCTGTAAACCCTTGTCTTCCAGATATTTTATTTCGTTAATAAGAGGGGTAAAAGTTGTTCTATTTCCCGTGGTCTTCAATTGCTTTGTTTCAACAAATCCAAAAGCAAATATAAAATGTGAGCCCAAATGGTTATTCAGTTCGAAGTCAGTTAAAGTAATTTAGTAAAGCCACGATTGCCGGAGAAGGCTTATCATATCGAGAATCATATCGAGAGATTATAGAATAGAAATGCTTTTGCATGGGCGCATGTTTGTGCCAACCGATTTATTTTCGTACCTATTTTGGCAACCGATTATCGCGCACTTCATTTTAATTATATTTCAATAACAAATGTATTGAAAATCGCTCACAAATCACTTTCGATATTGATATAAACCGCCCACAAAATACATAAACAAAGCCATGTACACAAATAAACAGGAACAGCAAACTTTAAAATGTCGAACGTCACGTACTCTTTTCTCAAATGAAATTGCAAATGGCTGCTTCTCAACCAGTCAGATCCGCATAATTGGTTCATGGCATTAGCATCTATAATTTAAATGACAGCAAACCAGAAAAACGCAGCAAAAATGAAGTGGACGGTAGTGGGGGCGGTTCCTACGTTCGTAACAAATCGTTAACAATGGTGTTAAAATCATCAAAAAAACAGTGATGCCACACTCAAAGGTGAGACATGGTAGGTTGTATCTTCAATGGAAACAATTTTATTGACATTCGATGAATTAAAGAAATTCACATCATGCCGCATCCATATAAGGTGGTAGCAAGCGCATATATGTATGTAAGCAAAAATCCCGTGTATTTTGTTATTGCGTTTTTGGTACTTCAGGATGTCAAAACGAAAGAAAATAGGAGATAATTTCCCTCATTTCGTTTTGTTGATATCGTAAGGTTACACCATTCCGTCTTGGATGACATTCTACTGTTGGTTGTTTCTACCCAAACTTGGTTGTTTTTCTTTTATTTTTACGAATTTGCTTGTTTGGTAGTTTTTTTCTCTGATTTTATTGTTTTTTTCCTTTTCAATTAAAAATTACCAATTTTTACTTTACTTTGTATACTGAATGCCAAAAATTAGTAAATACATTTTTTAAATTCCTATTTTTAATGTAACATGCGCATACAAAATACATAAGAAAAGTAAGTATGTGATTGAAAGCACTCGTTTTTTTTTTGTAATAAGTTTTGCTTATACGTGAAAAACTAATTTGGTTGTTTTTTCGCCATTAGGTTGTTTTTTCCAGATTTTGGTTGGTTATTTTTTTAACAAGTGACAACCGTGGTTGCCCGTCGCATTCACACTAAGGCATCTAGTACCGGGATTCGGGATCTCGAATTTCGATTGGCTTCACATTTTTCCTTTTTTCTTCGGATATATGATCTGTCAAATATTGCATTTTTTCCCGACTAAACAATCATGTACTTCTTCAAATTGTTATATCTCGGGTTGTGTTCATTGTAGAGACTTCATTATTGACTGTCACAAAATAAAACACCTCGTCAAAAAAAAAAAATATTTTAAAAATAGTTATTGAAAAACTAAAATTTGTTTGATCATTTTTTTATAGAGAATGAAACAAAGATTACGATGGTGTAAATTTAAATCTCAAATTTACTTGTCTTCACTATGCAAATCAACTTAAAAAAGTTCAACTGTTAATAGCTAAGTTAACTTTAGGACAATCATCGTATAGAAAGCCCGTTTCTTTATCTTCAAAACGACGTTAAGATGAAGTCTCTACGATGAGTAGAGCCCGAGATATAACGATTTGAAGAAGTACATGAATGGTCGGAATCACGAAAAATTCGAACTTTGACAGATCATATCTCCCAAGGAAAAAATAAAAAAAAATCCTTGAATACGTGTTAGCTAATTTCATGTATAGAACGCATAAAAAAATTTGAAGCGAATCGAAGACATGACATCATTTTTTTTACTAAATCCGTCCGACTTTTGTATACACATTAGTACGTATATACATATATCTTGTGGCATACTAATGTTACCACACATCTGTGTATATGTATGAATACTATATGTAAGTGT